GCCTACTCAATTCAACGCAACGATCCATGGCCGATTCGCGATCAATCCATATTTGAGCATCAACGATCTATGGTCGACCCTCGGTTGTCATGTAGCCGTGTGAAACCGAGTACCACGAAGTCAGTCCATGGACGCTCGTGACCGATGCATGGCCGAGTGGAATCACCCGCGACCGACACATACCCACACGATGTCGATCCATGGCCGCCCGGGATCGTTCCACTGCCGACCCTTATGGTCGAATGGTCGATCCATGGTTGAATCACTCTAATCGACTTGCGTGATCAGGAAGTCATTTCATTGGTGATCCCTTAGCCGATCCATGGACGATCCTTCGAACCATGACCGATCCTTTAGATACCGTTCCGTCCATACTGACCAATCCATGACCGACTCTCGGATCGATCCACACACCATTTCCAAGTCCTTTTCCTTCGGTCATCTCGGTTCCATTTGGGTCCAAATTTGGGGATGTTACAATGACTTCAACGCCCCCGTGCAAGAGGTGCCGAGATGTTGGATTTATTTGTAGCATCCAGAGGACCAGACGTTACCCCTTTCTCGATCAGCCCAAACATAATACCACCTCGTCTATCCAAAGGCCATGATGCAAAAATGAATGGCCTAATCCCTCATCCAAGGGCTCCGAGAACTCCAAATTGACTCCGCCTTTCCCATTGGGAATGAAGCAGCCCACGACGCGAGAAGTATCGTTGCCCATAACTATACTCACAATGAACCTGACAAATGTGACCTCTAATGTGGACGGTTCCTATGACTTTGTACCATGAGCCAATACACGGCAAAAGAACTCAAGAAAAGTCGAGAAAACTCAACAAAATACATATACCAAAAATAGAAAACCAATGCAATCCTACTCTCACAACCCATATATGCTATCTATCATATTCCCTGAAAACAGATCTATGAGGAGCAAGGACAGCAAATGGAACACATCAAAACCAAAAAAGGGACACCCGAAAACCCATTCGGTATCTCCCGATCGCCTCCATAAATAGAGCACTGCATGTCATCCCATGCATGTAACAACAAAGGTGGGAGGCTTTGGATCTCTATAGGCAACAAATTCAGGGGTTTCATCGGAGGCATATCCAAAAATGTGGCCCTGATCACCGGCACCAATCTCTTCTGGGCGCTTAGTGAGATGGCTGTGGACTCCCTGGGTAATATCAGGGCTCTGCTTCTCAATGTTGACCAGAAACCTTGCACTGGTCAGCATCAAGACCGACGTCATCAGACACAAATCCAATAGTGTGCCACGGACAATTTTCTCATAGTCTACATTGGCCTTGGTGGTAATTTCTCCGAACACCATGGCCATGTTGGTCTTGGTGCATGTTTTGCAATCAACCTTGCTGTCAGGGTCTGCTTGAGGCAGGCATTAAGGACAGCATCGGAGATCGTGTCACACAACATGTCGGGGTGGCCCTCATTCACGGATTTAGAGAACAAAAAGGTTTCCGTTCTTTGAATCGTTGACCGCTTGCTGTACTTGTTGGGTAGTTCCTTCACTCCAACGAGCAAAATTGTTGCCATCAAAATGGTCCAGTTTCATCATGTCTTGATTTATGATTTTGATTGACTTTAATTTTATTGTTACAAAATAATTTTTTAAAATTATTGGGAAAATATCAACGTGAATCGAGAAGAATAATGAGTTAGACTTTGAGGCATGATAATATTCTCTTTTAGGAATTATTTACCCTACAACGTTGCTAATAGTTATTGGCAAAATTCCTTCAGGATACAACAAAATCTCGAATGAGAATACTAGATAGCAATTTTGGTACTTCTCCAGGATCTCTCAAGGGAAACAATTGGAAAATATGACTGTTATCTCGTGGAAGAAACGAAAAATGATAGTTCTTGAACAAAAACGTTGAAAAATTATATACTTTGAACAAACATAACCTTTTAAATGTAAATAAGTTATGTCCGAACAGATATAATCTTCCAAAAGTTGTAAGAGCGCCTAATAACCATTAGGTAGAAGAAAAAAAGTCAAAATTAAATAATAAAAAAATAACCATAACTCCTTCCGTTTCAATAGGACATAATGGGTCGAATTTTGATAAATAACTAATGATCATTGATTAGTGTCAAATCTCGTCCACATGCACACTCACAACTTTTCGACGTGGGACAATGCACCTCTTAATTTGTTTTACTAACCAACAATAATTGGGACAAAGCTCGACTTTTTTGATCCAATCATTTTTAGAACATTCACTATGGTCAGCATCCATTCGAAACGCGTGTCTGATCAACGATTTAGACGATTTTCCAATCAACTTACACTTGGGACGCATGTTTGATCGCCCATTATTAAAAAAAAAAAAAACCTTAGTTGTCGTTAGTGTGCACTTGAGACGCGTGTCTGATAATTCATTTCAAATCCCTGACCAATTTGTGCTTGGGATACATATTTGATCACCGATTTAAACAAAAAAGAAACAAACGATCAACCTACACTTGGGACGCATGTTTGATAGCTCTTTCTAAAAATCTCGGTTGTAGTCAGCATGCGCTCGGAACGCGCATTTGATCACTCATTTTAGATCTCTGATCAACTTGTATTTGGGACACATCCTGGATCACCGTTTTCTCGAAAAGAAAAAACCTTTCCATTGATCAAGTTGTCCTTGGTTCTCCTGTTTGATCACATTTGCATTATGAACTTGCACTTGGGACGCACGATTAATCATACCTGAAACAACTATGCATGACCATCCCTGCAAATGGCATGATTTACGCTTGTCTTGTCATTTAATAAATTTTAAAATTTGAACAGCAGCAAAAACAACAGCACAGCCAGGTGAGTCCTAAAATAAAATAAAATAAAAAAGGTGAAAGCAGCAAAACCAGGGATGTCTCCTGCAATCCTCCGTAAAACTTCATAAATGAGGAAGGCACGTAGCTCAAACTTGCGGTTCAAATTTTGTCCTTAACGTCATCACAAAGAGGGATAATTGTTTTTTTTTTTTGATAACCGAGGTGTCCGCGCGGCCGGCGAGCTAGGGCTCAAACCAGCGGTGATGCCTGACTAAAAGAGGGATAATTGTTATAGGGTTAATACCACGAAAAAACCTTAAATTGATATATCTATAATAAATTTACTTTAAATTAATTTTTTAACCATAAAAAATTCAAAACTGATACACCCGTGACAAACTGGTCCAAGATGAGGACTGGCGACCCTTGTCCCGAATTAGCGACCCTCACCAGATTTGGGGCGAGGGTCACACCCTCTCCCAGATTGAGGCCTGCAAGCCCTTGTCGGTGGCTCGCTCAGGGCCGGCAAGGGGTCGTCGGGCTTCGGGAAGGCCCAGGCGACCTTCCCCGGCCCTTCCCGATGGTTGTGGCGGCAGCCATCGGTGAGGGCTTGGCCACCACCATAGTTGCTGGTTGGGGTATGTTTTTTTCTTTTTTATTTATTTTTTATAATTTCATTTATATTTTTTTACTTTTTCTGACGTGACACTTGTTGGATGCCACATCATCGTCACGTGTCTCAATAAAAGTAATTAAACAAAACACGTAAGCACAACGTCAGCATTTTCCGTTAGTAAATTAGACGGTGTTAACTTTAGGACTCGATTGAATCAATTTGACAAGTTTTAGGACTCGATTGCATATTTTGCAAGTTTTAAGATTCAATTGTATTTTTGTGACAAATTTTATGACTTTTAATGAACATATTCCTAAAATTTCGAATATCTCGTTATGTTGCCGCCGTTAAATAGTAGAAAGGAAAAGCATGTTCCTTTACTATCGCAACGATGAAATGAAAATTTGACAAGCAGGAAAAATGCTTTATCATCCACCTATTACTTTCCCTCAAATCTCGAATAAGAAAAAAGATACTTAGTCTTAAATAATTACATACGATTTCATATGTCACTACTTGTTATTTTTTGAAATATGTTTAAGTTGCGCTAAAAAAAAGTCAAAATGTACGAATCGCAATATTTACAAAGACTCATTTTATAAAGAAATTTGCAACTCTCGTTACAACTTTTTTTTTTTCGCATTTACCAATTATCCTATTACATGCAACAATGACACCACTAATTTCACGAAACCAGTGTTTGTCTCACATTTTTTGGATATTCCACTATTACCATTATATGAAAACATATGATTTAAAAACTGTCTATTACCATCTTTTCATCATGCAACCACCCAGTTAACACATGCTTGATAACTACGTAACTACATCTCCTCGATTAAATAATCACCTAATTCCTTCCAAAACAAGATTCCTTTCTCTTCCTACGTAATAAATCCACGACCATGTACGCGCGTGGTGCGTACCTCAACACTATTTTTCGTGAATTAAAGTCTCCCTAGAAAGCAAAATATATCTTAAATTACTTTAATTTTTTTAAATCGATTCAAACAAACCGTCAAGCGATTTTACCATCATAAAAGCCCAGACCAATGAGAACTATAGGACGTTGAATTTATTTAGGGTTAATACCACGAAAAACCTCAAATCGGTACACATGTGACGAATTTACCCTCCGTCAGTTTTCGTTAAATTTTACCATCAAATTATTCAGTTTAATGACACGTGGCAGTTGGTAAGTGTACCGATTTTAGGTTTTATCCCTCTATTTGTCACAAATTTAACAATTTATGATTTTTCGTGATATTAATCCAATTTAACGGAGGGTAAATTTGTCACAAGTGTACAAGTTTGGGGTTTTCGGTGATAAAAAATTTAGTTTGGCATATAGTCACAGAAGTGTACCAGTCTGAGGTTTTTCGTGGCATTAACTCATTTATTTATTTATTTGAAAAATAAAAAATAAAAAGAAATTCCGTAAAATCCAAAAGCGAAAAAGAAAAGGAATAAGGATTTTTTTTCTCTCTCCGAATTTCAAAAAAACTGCAGAGATACGGTACGGTGCGGCGAGGATCACGATAACGAGGCAGCGCACAAACAATATAAACGCCACCAACATTTCATCCTCCAGCAAAAGCTTCGCAATCTCTCTCTTCCTTCTCCTCCCCCTCTCTCTCTCTCTCTAAAATCGGAGAGAGAGAGCAAACTGCGATTCCTCCGCTGCATCGCCGAGCGCGCGCGCGCGCGAGGGAGGGGGAGGCGCATCGGACGGCATGAGGGCGGCGGCGACTCCCGTCCTTCTTTCCTAGGGTTCTCAGCCGTCGCCGGAGCCGGCCCATTGGCGAAGGCTCTCGTCGGCCTCTCTCGTTCCGACGTACATTGCTTCGATCGGCGGCGGCGTTTTCCGTTCTTCTGCTCTTTTCGGAGTTCGATCGGGTTCGTCTCGTTCTGCTGCTTCGCGGGGTTCGCCGTTTCGACGCGGTCGGTGCGAGCTGGAGTTCGTGCAGGTTGAGGTATTTCCTCTGTTGGAGCTGATTCGGTTGAGCAGATGAGCAATATATGGTGCGGTGGATATGATTTGTGGATTGAATTGTGAGAAAAAAATGTTCTTTTGTTTCGGCCGCGATGATTGTCGGGAGCTTTTGGATGAGAATGGTGCAATTAAGGAGCTGCATGCTTGTCTGTTGGAACTAGTTGGTTTTTCTTGGTAATATATGCATTCTGTGCTACGTACTTTGATTTTCCAAATCGCAAGCCTTTAGGTGTCGAATTTTGTAATTTCCCGTCGGATAGATGATGGTAGTTATGTTTTTCCGCCTAATTGCGGGTCAACGGATCATGCATATGCACTCAAACATTCATGTCGTTGTTGTTCTCGTACGAGACTTCCATAATTGATGATGGTTTTGGCGCGATGAACGCAGCTTTATGCCATAACCATTGCGAATTTCTCAGGCGATTTGCGTGACTGTACTGTTAATTTCGATGTGCAGATATATGTTAGACCGTCACTATGGTTTGCCCAGTTGGGAGTGGGAAAATGGCTGTTTTGGCTCGGGTTCTTGCGGGAGGCGGTTTCTCCAATACAGCAGGTATATATTGGCTGTGTATTGCATGGCCCCTATCCTAAGCACCGTTTGATCATTCCATGGCACTAAAAAAAAATTCATTAAGCTTGTGATCGTCTCGTCGCTTATACATGGTTATTCTGATTGACTTGGAGCATAGAGGAATTATTTTTTGATGTATAAATGATATTGCATAGGCCTGCTTTGAAGTCTGAGCAAAATGGGGCCGAAATTCTTTTCCTTTTATTGTCTTCAAGGTTTGCTAGTACATCTATGTTTATGCACAGTGATGGACTTCTCTGAAACGAATATGCAATTTGTACTACACTGTTTCATAATGAGTTCAATTGATACATGGAGCAGTTTCTAATTGTCGGATAGAACTGAAATGTATTTCCACAGGCATGGTTGCATTTTATTTTGTCATAATACTATTGAGCCAGAAATAATTACAAGCGATTTGACAAACTTATAAATGAGAACACTGTATGTATGAAGCATTTTGTCCAAGTAGGAACTGGTAGATGTTAGCAACACTCAGAAGCTTCATTGAAACGCTGCTTGTAATTACAAGTTAATAATTAGTCTAAAAGATTCCATTCAAATGGCGCAAAGGAGTGCTTCCCCATATAAAGCGTTATCTATGAGAGATTTTGTCCACTCAGTCTAGTATGTCATTTATATCAAGACCTGACTGCTGGTGATAACTACTAAAACCATGAATTCCTGACAGAACTTAAGTGACTTTCTTTGCCATAAAAAAGCCTCTTGTTTTTTTTTTTGGGTAAGGAAAAGCCTCTTGTTTGATTTTTTTGGGTAAGGTGGAAAAGTCTCTTGTTTGTTTCTCTCCAAATAAACCAAAAAGTTGCTAGAGGGATTATATTAATCAACTTTCTCTTCCTTTTGCACACTTGTATAGCAGTTCGCACTTTCAACTCTTCTTCGACTGTCTTTGCAATTGTCAATTGTATGCCCAGAATTGCCCTCATGGTATACCATAGGCGCCCAGACCATTGGCAATGGAGTGATAGATGATCAACTCAACTTTCTCTTCAGCTCCTTTGGATGAACAGCATTTGTTTAGCAAGATTTTACCATTCTCTTGCAAGTTGTCAATGGTTAAAATGTTCCCCTATGGTGCCTCCTAGGAAGAAACAAGAACCTTCGCTGGCACTTTGTTCTCAAACTATTTTCCTCTTCATTTCTTCTATTGTATCTCAAGGAAATCAACATGTAGCTCTAGACCTCATTTGGTGATACTTTGTTTTTCAGACAGTCTGATATTGGTGCCTTTTCTTTTAATTGTTGACTGATTATGAATTCTTTTGCCCAACTTCAGAAGAGGAAGTTAGCCATCAGAAATTATTGGCTCAGCACATTTTTAAGGAATTTCGTGACACTGATGAAGCAAATTTGCTCGATGAGGAAGGTAATTCTTCTAGTATACATGGTGCTGCAATGGAATTTTTGCATTGTTGGCTATTATTTTCGTTGCAATGACGGGGTAGTGGAGTGGCAGTAGACTAATGAGTAAGTTCATTCTCATATAAACTTATGCCCTCGGGTGGTGTATGTTGCCTGGTCAATTGTTGTTTTTTTGATAACCTTGCCTGCTCAATTGTTGTTATTTCTCTTCTTCAGAAACAAGGTCATCGTTTTCTTCTTTTTTCCTTTAATTTTTTGTTGACCTACTTGATTGTGAATTGTTATTTCTGTACTAAATGAATTGCGGTTTTCTTCTTTTTACTTTGATTTTTGGGTTACCTTTTAAACGGAGATTCCTGTAGAACATCAATAGGTAGCGTGGATATACCTTCCATGATAGAATCACAATGATGAAAATGCAAGGAACCTGAGTACTGTCCAACAGCATGTGAGATTGATTTTATAGGGTAAAATTGGAAGACATTGAGAATGTGAAATCTTGACCAGAAGTATCTTGACTTGGCCCATGGAATGGCTGAGTCTCTTTGTCTTTTTATTTTGTTCTTCTTCATCTTGGCAAATATCTTTCAAGCAACAAGCAGCTTAATAAGGAGAAAGAGTTTGGGCATGGATATTCAGTCATTGTATGTTGAATGCTCATAACCACTATTTAAGAATATGAAAAAGTTATATTCGAATTATGTCAACATTTATATGTTTCGAAAGTTTTAGATGTTTTGGTTTAAAAGAAGTTCAATAGGTGTGTGTCGTAAGATTTAGATTGAGCAAAAAGTGAAAAGTAAAAGACAATCCGGACATATCTTTAGTTAACAGGTCATGTGTTATATAGTATATGGATCAAGGTTGGTATAAGAGTCTACGCTTTTAAATGTTTTGATAACCTTCGCTGCCAAAGCCTGTTGAGAAGGTGGAAGGAAAAAATTTAGTATGTAGTTTTTCACATTAAAATTTTTATACTCTCTGCACTCATTCAACTATTTATTGGGTTAGATTGTACGTAGGTCAATCTCTCTCTCTCTCACTTCCAACTCTCAAACCCCTGACCTGGGGTTTGAGAGAAGCTCCCAAAGCCACCAGGCTGGAGGATGGATTAATCTGTCTTAAAATATGAAGAAAACATATAGAGAACGTATGCTCTGGCATCTAGTTGTGCAAGTGCTGTGAATTGTTTTAAGTGCTATTCTGTTCTGATTGTTTGTTCTTTTTGATTATCTGATTGCCTTGCGGTTTCTGCTTTGTGGATGCAGACATGCATGTATATGGTTTGAAGCCTATGGCTGATCAACTGCATTTGGTAAGGTTTGGAAATGCATGTTGTCTTTGTCCTTTTTCATTGGTACTTACCTGTGCATTTCTTGCTTTTTCTTGGGTTTATGTACATCACTGCAACTACCCTTATTGATGAGGAGAGCTGCATTGTGCCTTTGGTTCCTCTTGCTCATGAAGCACGGTGGTGAAATATGTTAGGACAAAGACTTTAGTTTGAGCAGATTACGACAATATTTGCCTTCAGATTCAAGTTTATGTTTTGAATTGGCTTCATAATCTATTATCTTATTACTTATTTATAGTAGGTTTTACCTTAAATGATATTGCTTTGCTGCTTTCTCAGTTGTGTGATTGTACTTTCCATCCACTTTCTGTTAGTTTTTTTGAGGATAAACAGTGAGATTGTTTTGCTTATGATGATCACGAGATATGGCTTTTCATCTTAAGGCAATATTCTCTCTGCAGGTATGTTGCAATGCATGTAAGAAGCCAATCAAGGCCAGTCAATATATGGCTCATCAAGGTTTGAACCTGACTTTTGTGAAGCATTGAGGGATTCTGTTTTGCTTATCTGTCATCTAGCATATTTAAAGAGAAAGTTTTGGCAAAATTGTTCTGCTAAATTGAGGATTGTATGTGTGCCATGCCGTCTATGACTCCTAATCAATCTGGATATCTTATCTGGTTTTGTCTTGTTCAATCATCTTCTCCTTTTGTCTGATTTTATCTGATGATAAATCTGATTAGAGTGTAATTCCTCTACTATTGCCATGGTGAGAAGACCAGAAAATCTTCATCTTTGTTTTCTCCCTAGTAGAATTCTCACCTCCTCTTCTAGCGGTACAACTCCCTCTTCATTGGATTTTTTTTCTTAATACTATTGTGAATCGCTATATCACTTGTCTTGATTTGTCTTAGAGTTGTGAATCCCATTCTCTTTATACTTATTACTCTTTTAGCAAGTCTCTATGATCCACAGTCTAATGCAATACATGGCCTGAAACTTCTGGATAGCTTAGTGCACTCTTTACCATTTAATCGAGAAGCCTAACCTGCTGGCTGTAGCTATTATTTTTCTTCACGCGAAGATATTTTCCTCAAATGTTTCTGAAATATGGAGGTTTTTAAATTATAGAGAAAAGGCTTTTACTGATAATCCTAATCTGTTGGGTCTTGTTATCCTTTTTGGTTCACTCCTTCCTTGTTTTTTCAGATATCTGTAGGTTATTGAATTCTACACAAGAAGCTGTTTTGGAGCCTAATGGCACTGGAAGGGGCAAAAGACCACCTAGGAAGGAGAGGAAAAAGTCCACCACTCCCAGTATCCTCTCTCTCTCTCTCTCTCTCTCTCTCTGTCTCTCTGCATGCATGCTTCTATGCTTAGAGCTTAGTGTAAATCTGTTCTTTGTTAGAAATCCGCTTCCCTTTAATGGAAATGAAATGATTTAGTAATTAGTATTAGACAATCCTCGGCTTTTTATTTCTTCATGATGCTCTTGGTTTTGTTAAGATTACATTGATGAATTTGATTTTATTATGACAATAATGATGGTTTAATCATTCAACTTTCCTTAGGGGTGACAATTTTCATTTGCATCCTTATCTGCTATTAGAGCAGGGACTCACTCTTTTTATTTCTTCTTGATGCTTTTTGGTTTTGTTAAGATTACAATGATGAATCTGATTTTATTATGACAATAATGATGGTTTAATCATTCAACTTTCATTAGGGGTGACAATTTTCATTTGCATCCTTATCTGCTATTAGAGCAGGGACTCACTATTGGAGAGCAAGGGAATTATGAATTTGTGAAGGATACCATCACTGTTGAACCACAGTTTCGTTATAATGGAAACCAGCAATCATCTTCTTTATGTTTGGAGGTCAAAGGTAGTTCACTGTTGTTGCTAGTGCTTCTTGATCATGTGCATGCTTATCTTTGATTAACTGCATCTTAACCGGAGTTTGGTTTTATTCAGTTAATATGTGTAACTAGGTGTAGAAGTGAGCTGCAATAGGGCAATGCAAGTTCATGTTCTAACTCTATTCGACTCATCAACTTCTTGAAGCTCAACTCGAGCTGGATCAACTATCATTTTATTATGCTCAACTCGACTTGAAATGGTTTCCAATGTTTTCAAGATTGTCTTAACTGGACTTTACTGAACTTGATTTTGCCCAAATAAAAATGTGCTCAAGCTCAAACTTGAACTGCTTGATATTTATGAGCAAAAAATCACCATTTTGTCACTGGATATTACATTAGATTACATATGAGATGCATATGGCAAATCGTGTCTCCATCAATTCAAAAAACGACAAGATCTTGCATTTGACCCAAGGGGAGCTAAACTTTCTTGGAATGGGAAGTTCTTCCTTTAGAATGAAGTTATGGCCCTCAACTTGCGCTCTAATTTTCCAAGTACTAATAGAAGGAATGAGAAGTGTACGTGGTGAATCTAAGTGAAGTAGCCAAACGCCACCTAAAAATACCTCCTGCATCCATCTTTACTGAACAAAACTTCCAGAATACGAATCACCAGCCTAAACCTTAATTTCATAGGACAGTTGTACGACAGTATGTTCTCAGTATCAGAAACTCAAATAAACTCAATCTTATTCAAAGGGCACCGTGACTTTGTGAATGTTGAGTTTCAGAGGCAATCTTCACCGAACAAGAAAGACATGTGCAACGTCAGAATAAAATTTGTTGATGTTAAATTTATTTTGGGAACAAGAGACTAAAAGTTACAGATCTGGAATCAAAGCTCAAATTATAGATGTTTTTGTCTTCTACAGTTTGTGGCCAAATAACGATCTGCAATTGAAGCTCTGGAGAGAGAGAGAGAGAGATCTTGGATAGGCTGTTTGGCATGGACAGGATAATGTTTTTAACTGAGTTTTTGACTTTTGGCTCTAGCTGTGTCTTTTATGAAATTTAGTATTGAATTTCTTGAAGTTGTTATTTCTTGCCGTTACCATAACACCTACAACACCTTGCCATGTTGCACTGAAAGTTAGGAAACATTTACAAAATGAATACTAATTTAGTCTTGCAAGCCACCTGAGTGTTAGAAGGGACGAGGTCAAAGTTTATGAAAATTTTGTGTTTCTCACTATAATTCTATTCGAAATTCTCTCTCTCTCTCTTCCATTTTCGGATTCTCTCTTTCTTGTTGTTAACCATTTCCTTAATAAATTTTCCACACACATCATCCTTGAAGCTAATTCTTAGAGTTGCATGTTGATTAGCCTAGAGTGTGACGCACCTACACAAAATTCTCAGCGTAATCCACATGAACTTTTAGTATCAGATAGGTTAACATTGCATTTCCTTAGGTGTTTGTTCACATATCATTCCGTTGGATAATCTCTTGTTCTTCAGAGGGGTAGTGAATATATTCACTTTAAAAGGAAGCACATCAAAGCAAGAACTCAAAAATGAATCTGGTTTCATTGATATAATTATCCACAAGCTGCACTAGAATGGTCCAACAGTAGGTGAAGATTCTTGGTGACACAGATTGGAATAAGAGGGGGTGGGGGAGGAAAAGAGGTACAGGTGACTTGAACCCGCGTTTAAATAATTATCTTGCCATCTATTCTATCGAAGAATGTGATTGCCTACGTATTGCATTTATTGAAAGAGAGAAACGTTAGGGAGCACTGTGGAAACATCACTATCTATGTTTTTCTAGGGTTATTTATCAAGTTGTATAAGTGTCAAAAAATGCCGTAAGGGTCATTACATGGCCTGTCTGCAGGGATCTTTTTGTAACTACTGCATCTCCTCTTCCTTGATCTGGGGACATATATTCATTAAAATTGTCTTTTTATTTGTTCATGATGCATTGTTAGATATATGAACTTTTTACAGACTGAATTGTTAATGTGAGTTTATTTACTTCAGGAAATTCAACTAGTCAAGTTGTTCCAAGAAGTAAAGATGATCCAGGAGTTATCCCTAGAAATGCTGATGAGTCAGCAAGTCAAATGCATCCTCCTGTGAAACGTTCTAGATTGTATGATTCCATTCTTGTTTCATCTCTTCATTCATATGTTAACTTGTTAATCTAAGCAGCATCAACTGGCCAACAAAACAATTTGCGCAATCTTCATCTCAACAAAGGTCATCTAGTGCTCGTGTTGTATATTGAAGGCCTAGACGGATGAAATATGCCTTTCTTAATATGTACTACTTGAATAAGAGTTTAAATGAGTAAAATGTATACTTATTTGTAGAATATGTTGACATATCTAGTAGGATAAATGCTTTTGATAGTCACATGGTTTTTTCTCAATAAAGGCCAATAGCAAAGATGTTTTCTTTCTGTTTCTTTGTTGTAATATCTGAATTATATTTTGTTCTTGTAGGATAGCAGGGGAGCATATGTCAGAAACAGATGATCGAGAAACAGATTCTGGTATCACTAGAAGTACACGTTCATAGTTTGAATTTGCTACCTAGACTTGAAATTTGGAATTTGTTTTCTGACATCTGGCATGCATAACTTTTGGATTGACCATCTTCTGGCAATATATGATTCTTTCCTCAACAGTTGTGAAACTTCATTTTCTTCTAGTGATTGAATGCTAAATTAATTGACTGTTTTTCTATGAGGAATTCAAAAACGAGTGTCTTTAGCTTGAGAATTGTTTTAGCCTGCATCACTCTGCCGAGCTCTATCTAATTTTGACTGCCTTTAATTTCCTATTATTAATTGCATATGATTACATCTGATTACAAGTTTGAACTGAGTATGATTTGGGTCCATAATTCAAATTCTTATGCCTCATCTTTTTCTTTGTTATGTTCTTTCGATCTTATGCATTTGATAGGTTGTGTTTGGTTTATGTGATAGCTTTTTTTTTTCCTCACATTTGTCAGATGTATGTCATTTGCTTTGGCAATAATATTCAAGTTCCGTTATTTGAAGCCAGGGAGAAAGATTCTTGTAACATTTGGGTCCTATTCTTTTAAGTGTTTTTTGACGAATAAATAGGGATTGTGGATCATTTCTAACCTGAGAGTATACCAGATGTAACGGTCTATAACCTGGCCTTTTTCATATTTTAATCTCCTTGGGAAGGAAAAGCTTTTTATTCTCTAATTTACCCTTACATTTTGTCTTTCATAAAGAAAATGCAGATAGATTTTGCTAGAGTTGAATGTAGCCAACACTAAGCATAAAAAATTGTGATAAATTATTCAAAGCAGAAAAGTCTAAAAAGAAAGATCACTGAAATATCATAAATCCTTGTCCACCTGAAACTTGGGTTGGCAGAATGTCAAAAAAATCAATAATTTACCTAATAACAATGAAGCTTCATCATTTAATAGACCAGTAATAAAACCAAATTGACAATACCCCAAACTTCCTAGTGGTCTTCAAGAGCAGGTCTCCACAGATGTGTCATTGATGTGAAACATGCCAAAGGAAGCTATACAGGTTACAAAACAAAAATGGATAAACTTTCAGCGGGTGAAATAACCCATTAATCTTATGGATTATGCAAGACAAGTCGAAACCTGAGTTGGTGGACCAAATTGGTCCGACCAATCATGAAACTATCTGCGTCTGATTTCATGGGGTATTGCAATCATGCAACTAAATCACGCACATAAGTCTGTTCCTTTACCAATAAATGAACTCCCGGGGTTTGATTTTAAATTAAGGTCTTTGAGTTTAGAAATTGAAAATTTTGAAAAAACATTGTCAAAGCTGAATTATGGCATGGGTATAAAATGTTGCATTTAATTTGAGTATGCTCCTCCCTGGAGCACCCGTTGGGTGAAAGATGTAAAGGTCAAGTAAATAAACATCATAATACTGCAAATGCGGAAGGAACGTATTTGTGACATGTTAGATGAATTAGAGTGTGTAATGAATTAGTATGAAAGGAAGTAACAAACTACCTAAGGTTAAGTAGAATATATAAGTCTAGTATTGACTACCATATTCACTTTGTAATAAGGCCATCTTGGCAGCCTACTTCTCTTCTTTAGAAACAGGGACCTTAAATCAAGCACATGCATCGTTGCTCTGTGGCTCACTTTATTTGTAGAGTTACAGTTTTTAGATCACAAAAATTCTAGAAAGAGAGTAACATATAACTGGCCAAAAAGATAAAAGAGAGTAGAAGAGAGGGAGGCTTTACTTTGTGTTTGGATAAGAGGGGGATGTTTGGAAGTGGAGCAATACTTGGAAGTTGATATGGTTTTAAAGGGCTGAACTGCCAAAAACTAGGAGGTACATGATGTGGCCTTTGCTTGCATGAAGTAATGCAAAAGACTCATGCAAAATAATTAATGGATTTTCAAAGGATCTTTTGCATTTTAATTGGCAAAACCTTTTGCAGCATTTAATACTGAACCCAAGTTCCTCAAATTATACATTATTGGACGAGAGAGCCAAATGATTTGCCTTCCACTTTCAGTGAAGTATTCATGAGTAGATAATGAAAGCCTTCCAAATTAAGTTGGATTTCTTATTCGAGTATGTTATGTACCATTAAAACTGGTGAGAGGAGAGGTAAGAAATCTGAGAAATTTATAATTTTCAATATCGAAATTGCATGAATCTTTGAGGACATGCTATGAGATAGAGTAATCTCTTAAAGAGGATCAACCACATATAGCAGGATCACAATTGCGATTTGAAGGCTTAATCTTTGTCATTTTGAAAACTTGGGCCTATCTGGATTGATTTTTACTTTTAGCTTTTTACCTAACTTAAAATCTTGCAGCTCACGCACTTTGACTTTTTTTGAAATCGGAAACTCTTGAAACTTTTACAACACTCAAATGATACGTAGATTACATATATATTTTTCATATTTTTCTGAATTTTGAATAATATTGTAAATTTTGATGAGAAAGCAAAAAAATAATTTTTGTTTATATTAAAGTATAATCACACAGGCCCTTAATCTTTTTGTCATTTTTTTTCTGTATTATCACGTGTTTGAGACAACTACGTGCTTGGTCATTTGGATTACTCTACAATATGTTCAAAGCTGATATAGGGTGCACGATCCAACAGTATATCCAATGGTATATTAATTAGCATTCCATTGCATGTTGCCAGGTAGGGATTTCCAAAAAGAATCACTTCCGAAACAAGAAGCGAAGAGTGGTTGTGCTATCGACTATAAAAATCCCTTGCAAATTTATACAAATAGCCAATTGACACAAGGTATGACTGTCTGGCTGTGCTGTAATTTGCAAACTTCTGTGGGGGAAGTACACTGTAATTGTTCATTTCATGAGGTAAGATGCGATTTAAAGCCAAAGTTGCTTCTCTAGAGAAGTTTCTGAGAATTTTCATGCAATATTGCTTCAGTTTCCTATTATAAATATTTTTGGTTTTATAAGACTAACAGTAGTTGTGATATTAGGTACTCCTGTGCCACTTGCTAGCAAAATATATTATTCTCAGAGAAGCAATCGTCTCCGATCAGCTATCGGCCATCTTTATTACATGACATCAACTGATGGGCTTCTTGATGACTTAGTAAGTATAAGAAGATGTGAATGCAAGCTTGATCTCAATAGAGTTCTTTACTCATGGGAAATAGGTTGTTTTAAGAATTATTTTCTTCTTTGTTCTTATAATCTGAGCAAGTGTTTGATGTCATCTGACCCGTTTCGCTTAATCTTACGATGATACTTGATTTCCTAGTGTCTCTGCTATGTTAATAGCCTGTTGTGTTAGCCTCCTTTTTGCATATACTAGTCATGTGATATTCTTAGTTTATGTAAAGGCATACTTGATGCTGGGAGGCAGATCCTTCATAATGCTAATTGTTGGAGTCCTCACATAGATATAAACCTTGTTGATGGTGCAGGCTTTATGAATTCTGCTCTTAGCTAGTTTGACTTTGAAAATGTGAGAAGTGCAATATTCAACTTTCTGGTTATTGAGAAAGTGTATCATTTAATGGTGATACCACTGAAACTTGGGGACTTTCGTATCCCACAACAAATTAAGTGTTCTGTTCAGAAGATGTTAATTTTATTATCATTTTTTGTGCATGATGCAAGGCAAATCCCTATTTCATTTGCCTTTACGAGTTAAGAACTATGTCTGGCATAGTAAGATCAAACTCACCAGTCCACATGGTACCGGCGCTAAATGATATACTTTTACCATATTGCTCTGATAGCTAACATGCCATTGTTTGTGAGGTAGTGGTGTTAACTTGCAAAAATGACTACGAGAAAGCAACTTTGCTCATTCTATTCTCAGGAACTGAGAGATGCACAGCCATCGCCTTTACTACAAGAACCTGACCCAGTTCTCTCAAAAAGTTCATTACGTTCAGATATCGCTGCAGTATCTTTGCCACCGTCAAAAGTATCAAATTATCTATCCGCTGATGCTGCTTTGAGGCCGCAGGATGATCCAATTCAGTTAATGAAAGGCAGAACTTTTCCCAATGGTTATTCTTTTGCTGGTGACTCAGGTAATGGTTTTCATCAGTATGAGAACAAGGTTAAAGCCCGGTTTCCAATTTCTTATTGAAAGGAGACTGGTGTATAGCTATGGAATTCTACTTTTATTTTTGCTTAGTTTTTGTCCTTTGGTGTTTGCCTTTTATCTATGATTGAATATTAGCTTATCATGACTAATTTTCTTATGGGACAGTGGACACCTCAATTCCTTGCAATTTAATTATGATCTTGCTATTTTTTTCAATTCATAATAACCTTTTTAATGGAAATTCATAAACCATAACTCAGAAGTTGGGCCCCCAAAACAAATTGCTGAAACATTAGAAGATATGAATCTTGTGCCTATCATTACATTTTTCCATTGATTGTCAGAATAGATTTGTTTCTAGTGTCAATGATATTTTCACTTATCAAACTACGTCACTACTTACAAGCTATGCCGCATATTACTTTTCAAGGCATTAGAGAGAGAAGAATAGCTTGCAATTTGCGTGCAATGTTTCGAGGGGTCCAATATGTAACAGCAACTGAGGGAGATGGAAAATATGCACATCTTCTCAAGGGTGCTATTTAGCACTTGCTTTTGGAAGGCTCGAAAACCTTGCTTTGTGTTGCTCATATATGGGTTGCATGCTTATATATATATATATACCCAGGCACATGCATTCGCCTGCACTCTCACATGCGCTTGCCTGTGAAAACACTACACGCTTGTCTAGGATCAGGTCCATTACCATTGTTGTGGAATAAATCCATACTCGGAAGTTGACAATATCGTTACGTGTTTATCTCTCTTCATTGTACTTATTCTGGTGCATCTTATCTGTGTTGAATTGAATGATACTCGTCTGTAGGAAAACCACTGAGCGTGCAGCAGCCAGATGGAAGTGTTTCAGTTTCGTAGAATCGCTACTCGGATTTTTTGTTAGGCGACGGTGTAAGTAGCCCCATACATGAGGTTAGAGCCAGTTTTTGAGAATCAATTTAACCATCATTAAATTGTTCATTCCTGTCTCCTATACTGCCGATGCTCAAATTGTTCTTTTTGGGCAAATGGCACGAATTGTTCATATTCAGTAAATATAATGTCAATCCTTTGCTGGCCATACTGCTCTATTTTGGACATCATATATGCTTGTGGCTCCAACTATATAGCATCGACATCCATGACGTGGCTTTGAAAATTATGAAGTTGGTATATATGACATAGAGTTGTTAGTAACCATAGACACGAATTTCTCTCTTTGCATGAGAAAAGGGAGAGGGTTCGACACAAACCTGTTTGATGCAATTCGACCATTAGATCCAAGTCGCTCTCACATAAGAGAAGGAAAAGTTGAAAGCGGATCAATCTGAAAAAAGCAATCAGCTTCTAATGCATTGATATAGAGTAGTTAATGTTGACAGATTAGCGGATCTTACAAAACAAGCAAGTTTGACGAAAAGGCTATACTGCATCTGTGTAGCATTCCTGTTGTGAGATCTCTCTTGCGCATTGTGAAACTGCTTAGGTTCTCGATTGCTTTCTTCTGGTTGAATGAAGTCCACTAGATCATGTTACATGCCATGAGGTCGACTCTGGATCATGTTCAGAAGGCATAATTCGAGTCATTTGCGTGCTTGCATTGAGTTGTTCAATTCGATGTATCTCATGATCGACAGTCAATGCACGAACCCGAGACCCAACAGATGCACTCTTCCTTTTTCATTGATTCCCCCACCTTCTATAATCTGAATCTCTAGCTAGTCCAGTGCAACTTTGGACCCACACCTACTTTAGTCATGATTTGTCATCACAAAACTCAACTTTCACGTAAGGAAGATTCGGCCGAGCACGTATTATAATTTGCATAGTCCCTTACGAATGGCAGGATTTCTCTCTGTTTCGCCAAGGTTGAAGCATTTGATTATGCAGAAAAGCATAAAGGGCGCACACGCAAGATCTTGACCGACGTTGTTATCTTGTCGCTCTACTTTGTGTCGTTCCATTGTCCCCATTGCAAGTAAGGCCCACCGCCACCCACGAATAGGAAGACACTATGTTTCGCTTCTTTAATCATGCCATGTAAGTTTCTTTTGTTTGTTGCGTTTCTTTTCATGAAAGGGTCATGAAATCTAAAGGCAAAAGAAGATGAATGACCTTTTTGGGGTCCAAGGTTGTCATGATGATGCAAGCCAAAAGCGGAGATTAATTAAACCTTAAACACGACCAGCGCTGAGTAAACATTAAAGTAAAAGAGGGGCAGGATCGAATGATGGTGATCCACGGGAACGTCTTTTGTTAAAAGGGGTAATACCACGAAAAATTTTAAATTAGTACATCCGTGATAATTTTACCAAAATTAATTTTTTGGTCATAAAAAACCTCAAATTTGTACACATGTGATAATTTTTCCTCAAACTAATATTTTGATCACTAAAAACCTCAAACTAGTACATTTGTGACAAATTTACTCTCCGTTTATTTTTGTTAAATTGAATTAATACCATAAAAAATCACAAACTGGTACACTTATAACAAACGAAGGGTAAAACATAAAACTGACACATTAGTCAACTTTCGCGTGTCATTTAACAAAGCAATTTGACAGTAAAATTTAATGGAAACAAAATGAGGATAAAATTGTCACAGGTATACCAATTTGAAATTTTTAGTAGTCAAAAAATTATCTTGTACTCCCGACGATGCAATTTATTCCCCTCGAGAGCAAAAGGTCAAAAATTCGTTAGGAGTAGTGGCATTGACCGAGTGTCTGTGGAAAGTGCTGGATAAAGGTTGGTTTATACCATTTGAATAGTAGTGATTAATGTGAAGGAACTTTAGTTCGGGTGGAAACATCGGTCTGAAGTCGCTGGCCGCCACCGTGGACGTCGGATGTGATCTCATCCACGGCTTCCGTGACCTCGACCCGAGGACGTGCGAGCTGAGCAACCTCGGGTTGAGGTCACCCATTGTCTTTCCACGGCTTTGGTGGCCGTGATGAGAGAGGGCAAGCGAGATAAGGGGTTGTATCAAGTAGTGTAGCGAGAGGCCGCGACGTGTGGTGGGGTGCCGGGATAGTGTTCCGGTGAATAGTACCATTGTATTGTCCCCAGCCTACAATGAATGACACGTGGACGCCATCCGTCGGTCATCCGATTCCTCCCTCCTCCTTTGTTTGTTTGCGCGACCACACTATCCCACCACTTATTGTAACCTCCAGCGATAGCATCATAGGCCCCCCCGTGTGAGGACTGCCACCTCCACCATCCCGACCTCCGCTTTCCCACCAACCCCCCTCGCGATACACCTCCACCACCAACACCTCCGCTCTCGGTCGACTCTTGTCGGTCTCCTATCTCCACTCGCCAGGCCTCGGCTCCTCGAGATCGGAACACTCACAAACTTCATAAAAAAAACGCCGAGATATCGACACCTAAATTTACAAATCCTTCGTAATTTCAGGAAATACTAGTAACATTCCAAACTTGAAGTGGGAAAAGATAATCTAGAAAACAAAAAGAAGAAACGGCACGAGAATTTGGGTAAATACTCGAGTCGCACTCACTATTTTGTTAAAAACACGCAATGATGGCATGCTGGCCACAAGCCCTCGCAGACCCCCAGCCATCCGAACCACCACCCCCCCCCCCCCACACGGACGGGACAACTGAAGACACCACCACGCCACTGGCGCTTTCCCCGTACGGCGGTGCCGCGCTAAAATAAGGTCAGCACCAACCAAAGATCCTGTGGACGTCATCATCTCCGCCGTACACAAAAAAAAAAAAGGAGGAGAGGAAGAAAAACATCAGATTGATTATTGAAAAATTGTCCGCCGTCCGGTGCGGGAAGCATATTCGAGTGCGCTCGCTTTTGAAGAATGGGAGGCATGATGGGGCCCCAGCTCCTCCTCCCCCCACCCAAAAGGCAAAAGGGGGTTCGTATTTTAATAACAGATGCCTCGCCGCCGTAGATTCGGGCTTTTCGCGCTTGCCCGCCTCTGATAATTGATTTATTATAATTAAACCCGTTTTGGAGATAATCATACGATCCGATCTAGCATTCCATATCGCTTATTTTTGGATTGGATATTTCAACATGTTACGAGAACTGGGTTTCGGCCGAGGGTTTATTTCGCATATGCAGCACATTGTTCATCAAATTTCATCACGTGTCGTTCCGCTAATATAAATGTATTTGTGAAAATCGAGTGTGCACTATTATTTCGTTGGGTTGACATAATAGATTTGATAGGTCTTCTATATTAAACTCTAGCTTTATAGAATCCTGTAAATGAGCTACACAATTTTACGGCTCAATGCGTAGCCTTATTTTTTTAGGATTAATACCATGAAAAATCCTAAATCGATACCTCAATGCCAAATTTATATAAAACTAAAACTCTAAATCGGTACACCCGTAACAAATTTATCATCCGTTTTCACCATCAGTTTACCAAGTTTGATGACACGTGGCAGTTGATGGATGTACCGGTTTAGGGTTTTACTCTTCATTTGTCACACCGGTTTAAAATTTTTCGTTGTATTAATCCAATTTAACGGAAACTAACAGAGGGTAAATTTGTCACATGTGTATTAGTTTGGGGTTTCTGTTGATCAAAAAATTAGTTTAGGA